ATCGACTGACTAACAAACTTCGTTTTGTAGCATTCTCAGACGAAAAGAAAACGAACATTTTAAAGTCGCATTTCTTTCTATTTTTTGTAGGGTTAATGGCTGACAGGTTCGTAACTACATTGCTGCGTTTCTCATGGCTGGTGGAGTTGGAATTATAGGATCTCTCATTTCATTTCTTCTTCTTTGCTTGGCACGAGAATCAGGTATTTCAAATTGACGAGGCAATGGCTGATACCGTGAATAAGGATGCCTCCTGCAGCAAAGCCAGCGTAGGATTCGAAAATGAACTGATAGTACTCTGTGAGCTGTCAGATGAAGAGGACGAGCCGATCATACCTCATCTTTCAAGTTGCGCAGTTGTCATTCATAGTTCATAATTTGCAAAAACTACGGTCTCGTTCCCAAAGCAAGGAACTCTGTAAATGCCTGGTATTTAAGTCTAGTTGATTAATTGATCATGACATTCATTTTTATACGATGCATATTGTCCGGATGTAACGAGAGAAAGAAAAAGTATACTTCTCGTTAATATGAATAAAAACTCGCTTCAGTAAAATGTACAAGATGAAGGCTTGTAATTGTGCGAGGATAGACCAATCAATGGTCTCAAGTTTGGGTCACTGACAGGCCAGGCGCGAACGGCGAATCTGTAAAGCACGGGAAATGCGAGAATGCAGAAACACAGGCCATAAAGCAGCAGAAGAAATCGCTTAAACCAGCTAATAACTAATAAGGAGATGGGGTGTAGGGGCCTTTTAGAAACCGAAAAACCGCGCAAAAAATCGCCGAAAACCGCAAAACCGCAAGAAATTTCGTCCAAAACCGAAAACCGAAATAAAAGCTCTCACTAACAAAACTTTGGTAGTCTTCGGAATCTCTCTTTCTGTTATTTAATTTTTATACGTCTAAACTTGTTTTACATTCCGAAGTTCTTTTTGCGTATTCCCTCGTTAGTACAGAACACATCGTAGTCTAAAAAGCTCCTTTTTTGTATAAATCGGTTCCACAGACCTATAGCAATGTGAAACTAGCAACAAATTGCACGATAAAATGATTTTAGTTGATTTTTGTTTAAAAGAAACACCACATTCTGAAGTTTTTTTTTTGATTGCCGTTGTCAGAATGTTCATTTGTGTAGGCGCAATGGCGCGCCATTTTACAACCAAACAGTTTCTCCATTGCTCTTATTCCACGTGAACGGAGCGAGTGAGCGCAATGTTATTCTCGCGAAGAAACCGGGAGACAACTCGCAATTGAGCTATAGAAACTTGATGGTCCATAGTCTAAGGTCAAAGTCCACAAGATATTATCCCAGCCGAGTGACATTTGAAAAATAGTCTTTTGCTTTGATGTTATCTTTAGCTTTTCATAGTCTGCTTGGCAGCCGTTACGACCCAAATAACGGCTATTAAAGAGACTAGGCTTTTCATGCATTCCTCTAACTGTAAGTGGTCCCTTGGAATTACAGTTTTAGCGCGACTGCGGGTTGTAACTTCCTTGGTAAAAGCAGCAAAACCGTAAAATGCATTGGGGAGCAAAATCCGAAAAACCGCCATCATTGTTGACAAAAACCGAAAACCAAAGACTAAATTGGAGAAAACTCGCAAACCGCACAAGACACCAAAACCGAAAAACCGAACCAAAAATTAGCCACATTCGCGAAACCGAAAATCCCAACGCCCCCCTCAATAAGCAAAGACAAGTTGTCTTTTGAACCAAGAGTTTTATTATTCTTGCAGTAAAATTACTGTAAAAAATAAACGAGAAGAATTAACAGAATTCGTTCTACTTAAACTGGTGGACATTTAAAAAGATGTTTACTTTTACCGAGACATTCCAATTGAAATTCAGTTAAATGTTGTACATAAGAAAAAGCTATAAAAGACAGCATTCGAAATCCTTACGTTCTTTTATAAAAAAATATCATTTGTCGCTCATTTAAAATGATACTTAAACATACGTCCTATACGTTGCTTGGCAACGAAAGCTAAGATATGCTATAACAGTTCAGTCACATCATTTCTCGTGTGGTTTTACTACACAACAGTGTTAAGGTCAGCACACACGAGCGAACTAGCCCCTGCAACAAGTCGCGCGGACAAGTCCCCATCTTGTGAACTAGCCATTTTTGCCACAAAATCTAGTCGCAGAAACTAAAATTTGGTCCCCGCGACTAGCTAGTCCCACGAATTCAAACTGGTTTGAATTTTTGGGACAAGTCCTTACGACTTGTTCCTCAAAACGCTTCGTGTGAACCCTTCGGTGGGACAAGTCCCTGCGACCAGTCCCTTTGTGTAAACTCTTCAGGAGACTAGTTGCAGGGACGAGTCCCCTCGTGTGTGTGTGCCGACCTTTAAGTCTTGACAACTTTGAGACGGATTATATATGTTACAGATGCAAATTTGAAAATTCTAGAGTGAATTTTTTTTTCCATCCTTGACGAAGCTCTTTAAGTGACACGTTACAGTTCAAAATCCACATAACGTCGTGGCACAAAGATATCTTTTCCGTGGTATCAGTAGTCCTGCGCAACAGTTTCTGTCCAAGACGCGATCGAGCCAAATGCTGGTCTCTTGGATGGTTCCTCGTGCCAACACTGCAGCATAAGATTATACCTGCAGCCAAAAGAAACATCATCACAGCAAATCGCAAAACAGAAGATTCGAATTTACGATATGGCTGAAATTGTTTTATTTCTGCCATTTATAAATTATTTTTTAAAAATATCATCGTATAAGGCAAGAAAGCCCAGGGAAGCTAACAGGACTACCTTGAATTTTAAAGATACCTAAGACTTAACAAAAGAATGAAAATGCTGTCATCAACACAGAAAATGATCATAATGTAGGATACAAAACAGTAAGCAAAGCTAAACGCGGAAATGCTCAAAAGCAAAGAAAGACAAAAACGCGAGAAAAGGCACACAAAAGTACACTAAGAGGTAAAATATACTTACACCAAGAAAAATGGCTTAAGTGTAGAGGTGAACACAGCACATTACTAGAGCCAGTTTGAGCTTCAATGCCGAGAGAATTATTGAATGTATACGTTATCTCTTTGTCAAAAATGAATTCAATATACGTACAATTCCGAGCTCATGGCTGGAGTCCTTGGTAATCTGTGACCACTTGCCACGAAGTTATAAACTTCTTCTCCAGTCATTCTATCGTAAGGTCTTCCACCTGTCAAGGGCAATGAAGTAATTAACTAATAAGTGAACCAATTTGACGTCAAGTTTATTTCAGACATATTCTATTTTGTCCCCTGAAATTGTAAGGGAAAATTAAGACGGAGAGATTTGACATTTTGATTTTCAAATGTTTGCATGTCGTTTAGTTAGGGAGCACCACGAAAAACGCAACCTCGTTTCCATGGTATTTTCCGTTACAGGCCATGGGAACGAGGTTGCGATAAACGATGTATTCTTTCTTTTTCTCTTCTTTCTTCGACGATCGCGCCTTTTTCCAACTATCACCCTGAACACTCTATTATACTTATCAAAGAATTGCATTCCTGTTTTCGGACCTGCCTTTGTTTACCGCAGAAGCTGTTAACTGGACATAGAGTCTGAAAGGGTCCTCTTAAATTTAACACGTATAAGCTTACATTTCAAAACCGCCATTGAACCCCCTCACCACCCCTCCCCCTTAATTGACCGCTCTGGTGGCGTGCCAGGGGTTATTAAAATGCAGACTGTTCTGCTTGATTTTGACCGGAATTTTCGAGAGATTTGATCAAAATGGTCATGATTACTTACCTAAAGTGAAAATCTCATACAAGACAATGCCGTAACTCCAGCTACAAGGTAATTATGAGACGAACACATCAGTGTTGACAGATTTACCAAAACCAAATTCGCAATTGACCAATCACAAGTTGTCTTGCGCACACCCCAACCCAAATACTGCAAAGGGAATCTTAATTTTAAATAAAGTTTACGAGAGCCTAAAGCACTGGCAGGGGCCGATCCAG